TCCTCGCCTTAAAACCCTGAAGGCGATTCCCCACTGCAGGGCCTTTGCAAGTGCTCTTCCCTTAAGAATGCCATCCCCCAACAATTCACAGCCAGCTCCTCCTCCTGTAGCTCTGAGCTTCCATTTCACCCTCTCAGAGAGGCTTTTCTTGTCTTCTTTATCTCCCTGTCTTTTTTCTAATAGCATTATTTGTGGTCATCTGAAATTAATCTTTTCTGTACATCTGGTTGAATAAGATTGACAAAGTAGACAGTGTTTGCTAATAGTCCAAGGGAGGCATCTGGGGAAGAAAATAAAAAAGCAGGGCAGAATTGGCACAGTGGAAAGGGGACCCTATGCTGGAGAAGGGATCAGATCCTTTGTGCCTTTCCCACAGCTTATAAAGACCTGCAGTCTCGGGAGGAGACTCGAAATGCTGCCTGGAGGAAGAGGGGCTGGGATGAAAATGTCTACTATACAGGTGAGCACCATTCTGGCAATCACTGGGACCTTTGGAGGTCATCTGCTGGGAGCCCTATCTAGAGAATGAAAGGATGCAATCCCCTCTACAAAGAGATCTAGTTTCACACCCAGTAATGGGGGAATTCATTTCTTTTTTCTTTTTTGATACTGGGGATTTAACCCAAGGGTCCTTTACCACTGAGCTACATCCCCAGCCCTTTTTCTTTTTTAAAAATTTGGGACAAGGTCTCACTAAGTTTCTTAGGGTCTCACTGAATTGCTGAGGCTGGCTTTGAACTTGTGATCCTCCTGCCTCAGCCTCCCAAGTCACTGGGATTACAAGGACATACCACTGTGCCTGGCTTCAGAATTCATTTTTAAACAATAAATTTGTGTGTTTCTATCATAGTGGCACTTTCCACATGATATAAGCAGTCTTAAGTGAGTACTCTAGGGGGATGGAGATGTGTTGGTGTTATAGCTGAGTGCCTGAGGCTGCTTCCTCATCTGTGAGATAGTGATGATACTAGTTTCCCTCAGATGGCTACAGAGAGGACTTCATGAACTCATGTATGAAAAGTGCTCCTCACCCCTTTTGTATAGCAGATTGAACCCAGGGGTATTTAACCACTGAGTCGCATCCCTAGCCCTTTTTTATTTTTTATTTTGAGACAGGGTCTCACCTAAGTTGTTTGGGCCTCACTAAGTTGCTAAAGCTGGCCTTGTGTTGTCCTCCTACCTTAGCCTCGCAAGTCATTGGGATCATGTCTGGCTAAAAAGCGCTATGTCCTGACTCTGGCATAGAGAAATCATTCAGCAAAGTTTTTAAGCAAGTTTTTTGCTCATGGTGTTTGCCACTAGAACCCTAGAGAATCACCTAGAGTCAGTAGATGTTGACTGAGTCCTCACTATCTGTGGGGAACTGTGGTGGGTAGGTGGAGGCTCATAATTAAACTTCCACACTTAACAGCTAGTGTCAGGAACAATGTCTTTTTTCGGGGGGAAGCAGAGACCAAGGATTGAACAAGGGTACTTAACCACTGAGTCATATCCCCAGGTCTTTTTATTTTCTATTTGAGACAGGGTCTCACTAAGTTGTTTAGGGTCTCCCTAAATTGCAGAGGCTGGGCTTGAATTTGTAATCCTCATGCTTCAGCCTCCTGAGTCACTGGGATTAGAGGCATGCACCATGCCTGGCTAAGAATGTCTCTTCCAAAAAAGGTAGCTGCAGCTTGCTATTCAAAGTGTGGTCCCAATTGACAATGTTGGCATCCTCTGGACACTTGTAAGAAATGCTGAATCAGCCTCCCCCAAACCTACTGAATCAGAATCTGCACTGTAACAGGAAATTACAGGTGATTTGTATGCACATTAGAGTCTGAAAACCTCTGAACAGGAGGAAAGAGTCTAACCTCCTGAGTAAGCTTGAGCTGACCCTCTTCTCTCTGGGTTGCAGATTCCCCATCTGTAAAATGAGGTGGTTGAACTAACTCAGTGTTTTTCAAACCTCAGCACCTTGAGGATCCCCTCACAGCTTTTGTTCTCCATTATACTACTACAATTTTTTTTTCTTTTTTGTACCAGGGATTGAACCCAGGGGCACTTAATCACTGAGCCGCATCACCAGCCCTTTTTTTAAAAAATGTTTTATTTAGAGACAGGTCCTGCTAACTTCCTTAGGACCTCACTAAATTGCTGAGGCTGGCTTTGAACTCATCATCCTCCTGCCTCAGCCTCCCAAACCACTAGGAATATAGGTGTGTGTCACTGTGCCTGGCCTACCAGTTTTTTTAAAAAGTTGTCTTAGGGCTGGGGATATAGCTCAGCTGGTAGAGTGCTTGCCTTGCATGCACAGGCCCAGGGTTCAATCCCAGCACTGAAAAAAAAAAAAAAATGGTGCCGAGAATTGAACTTAGGACCTTGCATATGCTCATAAGCATACACACGCTCACTGAGCTACACCCCCACCTTTACAATGATTTTTTGATATTTTTCTTTAAATCTCCCTACTTTGTCCTTAGCAATAATATCTGTGAAAGCATTTTTATACTATGCTAGTTTTTTTTTTTTTTTTTCCTGTGGTGCTAGGAATGAACTCAGGGTCTCAAGCATGCTAGTCAGGTATTGTCCAAATGAGCTAAATCCCTAGCCCTATGCCACTTATTTTTCCACATATACACGAAGGTAAATTTTTAACTTTTTTGCTGGGCACCATTGTGCACACCTATAATCCAGCAATTTTGGATGCTGAAGCATAAGGATCACAAGTTTGAGGCCAGCCTCAGCAATTTAGTAAGAACCTGTCTCAAAATAAAAAACTAAAAAGGACTGGGAGGTAACTTAGTAGTAAAGTGCCCCTGGGTTCAATCCCCAGTACCAAAAAGCAAAACAATAAAAATGTTCATCTCATTACCCTGAAAGTCCTGTCTCATTCCATAATTTGGGACACCTGATGCTTTCAATACGCCTTTTTAGGAGGGCAATGAGTCTTTCCTGTTTCAGCATCTGAGCTGCCTCTTCTTTCAACGGCTTGTGTGTCCATGAGTGTATGAGGGGTTGTTGGCTTGTCTACACCCCTATCCCAACCTCTTCCTTTCTCCACAGTCCCCTTGGTGCGACACATGGAGTCTCGGATCATGATCCCCTTGAAGATTTCGCCTCTACAATGATGCTGCTGATGGCTCTAGCTCCTTCCCCTTCTCCCTCAAGGCAGCCAGGACAGAGGAGTTCCCAGTCCTGATTTCTCTTGGCTCTGGGAAGACTCTGAAGGGTGGTGCACAGCTCAGGCAAAGATGACAAGGCTCTGAGGAATTAAGCTCTGTCCAGATCCATCCTTCCCTAAGCCTTTCCACTCACCTCTTTCCCCTCTGCTGGTAGTTTCTAATTTCCCTAAATGAAGAATAGCAACCTTTTAGGACTTCTTACATTTCTCTCAGAGATTCCTCATAATCAAGGCCACCAGTCCCAGGTATCAGCATGGAAACCCTTGGGTTAGCATAGTTGCACAGAAGGTAGTGTGGAGGGAGGAGGTCAGACCAGGCCAGGCCTTGAGGAATTCCCTGATCTCCACTGTGCCATCCTTACTGCATAAGCAAAGATTGAGTCAAGTCCCACTTGTTGGGGGAAAGCCTGGTATTGCCATAAACCCTCAAATCTTAAAGGTTAGAATGAAATCCAGAATCTATCCGGAGAGGCTGGGAAAAGGGATTGGAGCAGGATTGATTTGGGAGCAAGAGACAGACATAAAACAGAAACTAGAACTTAGAACTCAAGAGAACTTGCACAATTTGTAAAACAGAACTGGGAAGATAGAATAGAGGTGACCAATTGGCAAGAAGGTCCATAATACTAGATAGAGAAGCTTATCTGGGATTGAGAACTTAAATATGTAGTTCCAGCCCTTCTCCTGCCCTCCCTCCTTCCTGCAGGCAAAACTACAGGACAGGGCCTGTATTTCCCTCATCCAGCATTCCTTTTCCCTTACTTGACATTCATTTTACAGGGCCTGAAGCCTGTGGAGTAGGGTCAGTGACTCTGGGGACTTCCTCAGTGACCCCCATACCTCATGAACCCTTGGGTAGCTTGAATCTGCCTCCTTACCAGGAAAATGCGCTGGAGTTGCTGATGGAATCAATTAAATATTTACTATAAATTATGGTGTCTTTTCCTCATTTGCAAGTAATTTCAGCCCAAAGCAGAACTGGCAGGCTTCTCAGTTTCACCTGGTGATCTTCTCTGGAGGATACTGTGTTCTGGAGCTACTCTCAAGGAGGGCATCTTCATCCTTACTCAGGGCACAATTGTCTCTGCACAACATGGAATTCGGGATGAATACTGAATGTAGCTCCAGATAAATGGGATTTACACCAAAAATCTTGGACCCTTACAATTCATGCTGGGGATAGAAAACACTTGATGCATCCAAAATCTGCGTAAAAGTTGTGATTCTGAACTGGGCAAATCAAGACTAACATGGAGAAATAGGTGATGCACACTTGTGGTAAAAACAGTGTAAAATGGAATTCTACCCTTCCTGAATTGCCACCTTCATTGGTGTAGTGTGTTATGGGGAATATGGTCGTAGTCCGGTTATGGCTGGGTGAGGGTGAAGTGGCACGCGCCCATAAGTCCAGAGACTCCGGAGGCTGAAGCAGGAGGATTACAAGTTGGAGGCCAGCCTTGGCAACTTATACCAGGTCTCAAAATAAGTTGAAAGGCTGGGGATGTAGCTCAGAGGCAAAATGCTGCTGGGTTCAATTCCTAGTGCCATTGAAAAAAAGGAAGGGCCCTATGTGGGAGGCAAATTCACTAGGGACCAAATTAGACACTGCCACGCTCTTGTGCTAATCTTCTGCATATCACAATTATTTAAACAGTTTGGGAAGTGAGCGCCCACTAGTAGCGCGACTGCTTTACGCTTTAGGGAAACAACTAGTTACCGAAGAGCCTAACCGCACAGCCTAAGTTATCCGGTTTCCAAGAGCGAGAAGGGGCAACCCCTGATCAGAACCGCCCCTTCCTTTCCTCCCACGCACACCCGCCTTTGCTTCCGGCCCTCGCCTTTGCTTCCGGTCTCCGCTCCTTACTTCCGGACGGCCGCTCTTTCCTTTCTTCCGCTTCTCTATGGTGTATGCGCTTAGATTGCCTGGCGGCCGGAAGTAGCTCGCAGTCCAGCCGGGGACCGGTCGGCGAAGCAGTGTGGTGAGGAAGGGAAGAGGGTGGTGTGACCCGCGGAACGGCGGAACCGGGTCGGGCGCTTCTGGACTGAGGTGCAGACCGCGCAAGGGGTGTCTCTGGGCTGGAGTACCAACCAGATTATCCGCCCACTCCTCCTGGGGTTCCTGGTCCCCGGGCTCCGCGCTGGAAAATGTTTGCTGCAGCATCCTCAGGCCCTTTTTTGTAGCCTCATGATGTTAATGATGGTGGTAACAGCTCACATTTATTGTGCAGTCTTGTGTGCTGGGCACTCTATTGTGTCCCAGTGTTGGGATTTCCCACACTGAAGCCTTTTGGATCCCACCTTTGTGGGATTTACCAATTCAGTTTGCCACTTGTACAATTTGTTTACTAAAGATTTTTATTCCAGTCACTTTATTTATTTGAGAGAGGTGGTTATTGGGGCTCGAACCTAAGTCTTTAGGCATGCTAGGCAAGCGTTCTACCACTGAGCTACACTTCCAGCCCCGTTTCACTTTTTAAACATAAATACTTGGAGAAAAAATGTCAAGTTATTTTACCATGAAAATTGCTTTCATTTTTTTATGCAGAAGATAATGTGATACAAAATATATTTAAAATAATGAAAACAGGCCTTTGTTAAGAAATTCTGCCCAGATTTCATTGTCTAAGGCTTGGAGATAAAGTCCTGTTTTTTTTAAACAAGTGAACTTTGGTATTCATAGATGTCAAAAGTAAATTATGGAAGATATAAGTTCCTGAAGCAGTTGGAAGTTTCAAAAAAGAATTGAAAGGGATTAATTTTCTCCTTGGGTATTCAGTGTTATGTAATATCACCGACGCACCACAGCCCCAGCTCAAGTTTATCATCTTTCCTTGTAGAGTGTCTTTTGTGTTAATGCCTTCCCTCCCCATGAGCCCTGATACAGGGACTGTTATTCTCATTTGATTTGTGAGGAAACAGATCCAGAAAAAAGTGAAGTGACTTGACCCAGAACTTATAACCATAAAATAGTAGAGCAGAGATTCTAGTTAGTGCACTTTTGACTCTGCTTCAACACGCTGTTGGCTCTCCCCAATAAGTGTGACAGCTAACTAAGAGGGACAGTGCTGCCCACCTGAGGGCTGAGGTGATGACTACAAGGGAGGATGTTTTGTGAGCCTAGAACCCCCTGAAATGTGCGTTCTGTTCTTTAAATTTTAGGTTCAGCCAGCATGGCATCACCAGATGAAATGCTGTCAAGACTAGGAGGCCTAATACTATAGTTGTCAAGAGCATTGACATTGGGCTGGGGTAGCTCACTCGCCTAGCATGTGTGAGGCCCTGGGTTCGATTCTCAGCACCACATATAAATAAATATAATAAACATATTGTTTCCAACTACAACTAAAAAATTAATATTTTTTTTTTAAAAAAGAGCTTTGACATTGGTCCAAGTTTTAGTGTACTAGCCGTGGGATAGGCAAGATATTTGCCTTTGTAATTCTCAGTTTTCTCATTTATAAAATGTTAGTGGTTCTTATCTGAAAATTTTTTTATAAAGTGCTTAGACCAAGGCCCACCACACAGTGACCAGTTAACGGTAGTGGGAACGGATTTATGTGAGACAAGTTCATTTTGGACAGGCTGAAAGATGAGTCCCTGTTTTACAGAGGATTACACTCAAGCTTTAGAGGTTGAGTGGCTTTTCTTGAGTTACCACATCTATAAATAATTAGAGTTGCTAGATAGACTTAGTTTTCTTACTTCAGAAAAATCCTGAAAGCTTTTTCCTCTTACCAGCTCTCTATTGTTTTCTCCTAACCTTAAAGAACAACCATGTCATCAGAATCCAGCAAAAAACGGAAGCCTAAAGTGATCCGAAGTGATGGAGCTCCAGCTGAAGGAAAGCGGAATCGATCTGACACAGAGCAGGTGAGATCAGCCAGGTTGCCACGGTGCTGAGAGATGTAGCTTGTGCTGGGCACAGTAGTACACTCCTGTATTTCCAGTGACTCCAGAGGCTTAGACAGGAGGAACACAAGTTCAGGGCTAGCCTCAGCAACTTAGTGAGACCTGTCTCAAAATTTAAAAAAAAAAAAAAAGCAGGTCTAGGAATATAACTCAGTGGTAAAGTGCCCCTGGATTAAATCCTTAGTACCCCAAAAAAGAAAAAAGAAATTACAGCTATGGTCAAGCACTTACATAGGGGTTTGTGTCAGCTCAGGTTTGTATCTACCAGGGACAGTCGCATGGTGATCTCTGTTTGACCAGGTGACTAGAATTTCTGTGGCCCCATAAAATCTGTGTGTCCACATCAGGTTTAGCTGCAGCATCCCAAGAACCAACAAGCCTGTATTAGACATCATTGGTACGTACACAGTATGATGTATGTCTCCAATTTCCTGATGATCAGAAGACAGGAGCTTGACTACCTCATAGCTCTGGAGCTTCAGAGATGTTACATCCCCAAGTATGCTACTAAGATGGTACCAGAACCTTAAACCCACAGAACCTGTTCTGTGGCCCGAGAGCTCTTGTGGTCAACAGGTGGTTCTTCTTTTTGTCTTTCTGTCCTTGAGTCTTTCAAGCCAATTCATGACTTGGCTGTTTTTGTTTGGCTAGTTGGTTTTTTGTTTGTCTGCTTGTTTGTTTTAAGTAGAATCATGAAACACTAGCTTAAATTTCAATTAAAACAGGATCTGGGGTTGTGGCTCAGTGGTAGAGTGCATGTGAGGCCCTGGGTTCAATCCTCAACATCACATATAAATAAACAAAATAAAGGTATTGTGTCCATCTACAACTAAAACATGTATATGTGTGTGTGTGTGTGTGTGTGTGTATATATATATATATATATATTAAAAAGTTTCAATTAAAATACAGTATGGGCTGAGGTATAGCTCAGGGGTAGAACCTATATTAGCATATGCAAGGGCTTAGTTTTAATCCCCAGCATGCACACACACACACAAAAAAAATCAAAACCAGAAAACAATGCTTTTAGCACTTTTTGATAGTTTTGTGTTGTATTATATATATATGTGTGTATATGTATATGTGCATGCATGCATACACATATGTATGCATGTGTATGTATATATGCACATATATATTGCTTTCGTGTGTTTTTCATTTAACTCATGGACAAACTTATAAACAGGTGCAAATATTAAACCTTTTTTTTGCAATCTAAAACTCATTGTTCAGTATGAGTCTTGTTACATATAAGAAAGAATATTATGAAAGATAAAAACAATGCTTTTCTCTGATTTAGGAAATCAGATGGCTGAAGGACCTTTTTTTTTGTGTTTTGATTATGGCA